CGTTATCTCATTTGTAAGTGTTCGGCACAGGCTGGGAATTTTCCTGTTTTTGAAGAACTCACTATTCTTATGTTCCTAGTTCTGCTGGAGATTGATCATAGAACTACATCTGTGAGTTTTTCGCAAATAGACTACCCTAATTTCGTCTGATAAGTCGCCAAATATGGTGGAGTATTTTAATTGCACTCGGCGACATCAAAACAAAAAGTAAATGCAATGAAATTTATAAGGCGTTCCTTCACACATATCATTTAGTAAAAAAACAAAGGATTAAACAAGAGCCACTACTGGTTTTTTTTGCAGGAATGACTTTCAAAACTCTGACCCACCGAAACTAATATCAATAAAAGACAAAGTTCCAACATGTGGTGTTGATGCTTATTTCACGTATCGGTATCGATAGAAGGTTGATTTTGAGATATTTTAAACTGTCTTAAGAATCTTCAGTCTCCATCATTTTCTAAAGTAAAACATCGGTCCAGAAAAGATGACGTCATAAAGGGGTTTGGCGATAAATTGAGGGAAACAAATAAAGGAATACTTAGAAAAGGTGAACAAACATGGACCGTGAAATATATTGACAATAACCGAGGTGGCAAATGTAGCGAGAGGCATTGCATCGAGGTTTTACTGTACATTGATTAGTTTTAAACGTTCAATTCCACGCCATTCCTGATGCTTAGCATAACTCGTCTGAAAGGCACTTTCGTGTGTCAGACTAGTCTATCAGAAATTGGCAAAGGCATATATGCAAATAGTTGCCAATAGTAATGAGACCTATTTTGTTGAACATACCACTGGAAGAAATAAACCACTCATGGTGTATGATAATGTCCGCCTGATTAAAATTTGTTCTACAATTTCTTTTTGTTGAGTTTGGTAAGAGGATATTTAAACCAACGGTATTGCAATGAAGACAAATAACACATTATGCATAACCTTCAGTGTTTGCATTTCAGTGAAGATGAATTCCATTTCGCATCTAATTATTGACAGACAATATGACAATGACCGTCACTTCACCAACAAACTTATCTTTTCTCATCTTTCTTAACAACCTTCTTCTTCCTAATGTCTCCCTTGACAATACCTCACGTTTGGCCTTTAGTTGAGCGTTCGCCCCTTCGAGGAAGGCTTTTGGGTTCTGTCCCCTGGCCTAGTCATACCAGAGTCTGTAAAAATGGTAGTTGCGACTCCTGCTTAACGCTCAGCAATTTAGGAGTGGGAAGACTGTTTCCCCGTTGTCAGTATAATATGACCAGGTGGTGTGTCTGCTGGGTGTCTTCGGCAGTATGTTCCAGTCAGGTAGCACTATAAAGTCGTCACCAGTTCCGCGCTGTCACAAGAAGACAAACACGAACATATCGCAGCCTCCTTTAATGACCATAGCTGTTGATAGGACGTTAAACAACACTACAATGTAACCAAAACCCAACCTTGACATACATAACGGCCTACTAGTCTCTCCGTTTTATGAGGTTGATATGTCAAAGTTGATACGATACGCCTTTCAGCAGCCTATTTAAGTATCGAGGTTTTCTGGAAAGATGTTTCCTGTTGTCAACAAGGATTTACTACATCGAGGACATTTTACGGTCATTAACACGACAAGATTGCTGATGACACACACGCTTTACTGGGCTTGACAGAAGACTTCACATGTGGTGCCGGAAATGCTTTCACTTCCGGTGAACTTGATTTCCCCTAAATTATTCGTGGATATTTTACAGTCGTTTTTCCATGTATCCTCAGTTTCTTTTATTTTCTCTGTTTCTGTATTACATAAATGAACGTTCACCTTGATATCTCCCTATACCTTGTTGATTTTAGATAATTTTCCCGTTCAAGCCATTCAGCAGATTTCCCCGCTTAGCACATGTTTGGATTAAAAACAGTTCCGTGTGCATAGCGCCTCCTCTTCAGACACTGCTTATATTTAACCAGATATTTCTTTCATCAGCATGGTTTAGACTAGCTTTATACTGAAAATAACACTATATTCGTGATTGTTTATCACACGACCTATTCGCGATCTAACAGCATTGGCGATCGCCTCCTCTCGGGTGTTGACGCGAATTCGTATTAAGCAACATTTTAAGTGATTCACGGTATAAGTTTGTACCGATTGTTTACCAACCTTCGTTGTATATTCTGGCTTTATAACATAATGCCACTTTAGATATTACTGTTAGGTAACAAATGTGTTGATTATTTGAAAACATCCAAGTTATATATAGTCACTGACGTCAATAGGTACGTCAAAAAGCTGTAATCGGGTTTCATATAAAGCGATTTGTTCAATGCCTAAATACTGAAAACGACGCTTGACGACCATGATAGTCACATGAGGTATTAACGATGTTTGAACGTTGTTGTTTGGCGTAAAGCGTGCCTACAGGAAACGTGTTAAGATTTGGTTATATGAGCATCATCTCTATAGCTTCATTAATCTTGGCAGAACGAGTCGGCGCAAATGGACTTTTCAGTTAAGCCTACATTTCTATTCGATTACTTACTTCTATCAGACTTCCCGAAAAGAGCACCGGTATACCTCTCTGAACGATATACAGCATATCATCAACTGGCGTGAAACATATCTAGAGGGGGATCTACAGGGAATTCAATCGAAACGTGGTCCTTATAGAGAGAAACACAAAAAGAAAGAGGTCGTTATTAAGACGGAGGGAACAGAACGAGGTTGTGATGATGTTACGGAGAGAATTTAAAAGGGAGCGTGGAAAAGAGAAGGGGTGGAATGAACCGACACTCGCAAGTAACATTTACAGTTAGAAGGGGTCAGAGTAGGTCTTGATACAAAAGAGAGAATCAGAACGAGGCCGAAGTGCAGAGCAGGAAATAAGAGCAAGGTCGCAATACAGAGAGGGATATCGGAACGAGGTCGTGTTACAGAAGAGGGAACCAGAACGAAGCCATGATGCAGATCAAGAATCAGAATAGAAGAGGTCTGAATGAATACAAAAAGAAATCATTATGAGGTTAAGACAACTATAAGGTTATATATAGCAATGTATTCTATGCTTGAATATTGAAAGCGGGGCTTGACAGACACTTAATGCGTTTAAGCTGTTACGGATATTGTGTGGGGATAACATGTCTACAGAAGACTTGCTAAGAGATGATTGGATAGGAACCATCTCTATAGCGCAGTTGATCTTAGCGGAACGAGTCAGCGCAAATGGACTTTGCAGTTAAGCTGGTATTTCTATTCGATTATTTGTTCGTATAAGGTTTCCCAAAATAACCTCTTTGGACAAAATGTAATATCATCAGCGGTTGTGATTCAAATCAAGAACGAGGTCGTAATACAGTGTAGAAAATCAGAACGAGGTCGTAATACAGAGTAGAAAATCAGAACGTTGTTTTCATTTAGAAAATATAATCAGAACGACGAAGGGGTGAAACAGGGTATCGATTCAGGCAGAGGTCTGTATATGTGAGATGGAATAAAAAAAAAAAGGTTTTAGATTAAGAGGGTGAATCAGAACGAAGTCATGATAAAATGGAAGGAACCAGAACGAGGTCGGGATACAGAGGAATGAACATGCAAAGGAATAACCAAAAGACGGTCTAAAGGGTTATTGGCAATGCTGTTTGATATTTTTCCATATAAGGAGTTGTTAAACTATCTTGAGTGATTGCCCATAGCATTATTCAAACAAAGTAATTGCTAATAAAGTTCTCCATACTTTTGTTATGTCCAGCTTGGTGTTTGAAGAGAACAGAAAACATGACTGCTATTTTTCCGGATTCTTGTTATTGGACATTTAATAATTATATTTTCATGAAAAATTATGGAGTACAATGTTGATGCCGAATCCCGAAAATGACTACAAAATCATGAAAGATGTGGTCTCCTCTAAAAACATCTAAGATATGGCAAGCGTTATACAAGCTGTATTAAAATCGACCTGTCTTTAATGTTTCGGACAACGTCTAACCATGCAACATGCAATATGTATAATGTTATTCCTAGATCAATCAATATCATACTATTTATTTACAGGAAATGGAAATCAATAACTGACATACAGGTCATTAATATGTGACTGGATATTTCAGAGAGAGCATACATATATGTTTTCTAGAGGGATTCTTCTCCGATTTTGTTATCATTCGTTGTGTTTCATTGGGCGAGTCGTCTTAGTGCACTTTCGCTATAGAGCAGAGCTAGCGAGCGTTCTGATATTTAGACTATCTGCGTTCCTTGTCCGCGATGCTCTCAGCTTAATTGCTGCCTTCGGCTGTCTTTAGCCGAAGGGACTATTGGTTTTATATAATAGCTATATTTTCAATTATAGTATATCAGTTCTATCTTCTTGTAATATGATGTATATGTACCTGTAACTGTTCTGTTTCACTGTGTCTTGATAAAGGAGCGGATCGCTCCGAAAATTTGACAACCTTAACTTGTCCACACTGTTGGAATTACTTCGTCGCCCCATATATATATATATATATATAAATGTGTATGGGGTAAAGAAGTAATATATATATAAAGTGTATTGACCATTTTAATTACCTACACATATCATTTATACGTTTGTTTGTTTTTGTTTATTTATTGTTTTTCGATTTTGTGCAATCCATTACAGGTCAAACGAAGGAGGCCTGGTGAAAACAAACTGGTCACAGATGACAATCACGCCCCAATTTGCAGGAAATGAAGGAGAGATAGAAAAGATCACACAAAGATTCTAAATATTACAGTGCAGACAGTAGATCAATTTTGGTATCTTCATTACTTAAAGACTAAATATTGAACTTTTTTTGCTCAAACTCTACATATACGTATATTGCTTCTGCAATAATTCCAGGTATATGCACAATTGATGAAGAATTGCCTAATTTGGGTGACAATGGGTCAAAGTACGAGAGGTAAATGTGTTGTAACATTTGGAAATATTCAATGAAAAATATCATATTCGTATAACATATCTGAAATTTTAAAAACATCTGTCATTTTGTTCAAAAAAGGATATCCCCATTCGATGATAATCTTTGCATACTTGCGGATGAAATTCTCCTCACTAAAGATGAAAAGTGACCGCGTGGTGGCGCCACTTGCTCCCGGAAGACTGAGATTCGCTGCCTTTTTGGCACAATGACGTAACGAACCGTCATAAGGCCCATTGAAATCGTCGTCCTGGTTGCTAACCTGGAAGTTCGCCATTCTGGAAAAATAAAGGATAAAAACGCTAGATTAAAGCTTCTTTGGAAATCATTATGGATTCAGTTCTTTAATTAAGAATTTGTTAACATTTTAATAAAGAAATAACATGTATTGTATTTGACTGAATTTGATTTCCGGTTCAATAGTTAACCGTCACAAATCATTGAGTGGCTTTGGCATTTATCAATTTAACATTGTATAAACACCCAGAGATCAACAAGGAAGTATCTACATGTATCTTGTTTTTCATCTAATATAATCTGAAGTTTTTAAGGTTGATCATATAAGACTTCTTAAATGGCGTCTAGTATTCCCATCCCTCGAAACCAAAATACATAGGTTTAATACAAGGCGGTTTCAAGTCTCCTGTGTAATTTGTTAATTAATTTCTATTGTATAATGGATCAAGTGGCGACAAAGACTACATTAAACCTGTTTACTACTCGACAACGACTTAATGCTATCGTCCGCAGACAGCAAATCAATAATGACATTTGACCTTTCTGAAAATCCTTGGAGATATCGGTTATATCTGACATGTAACAAACATGGCGACAACGAAATCTGAGCACGAGATCTCGTGGGGAACAAGAATACGTATAACAACTGTCGTATGGTTATTGGCTGCTGTTTTGTTATAACTCAAAGATACATAAATATATTTCATTCAGAAACATCGCTTCAATTTCAACAGGAAAAAAAAACCGCTCTCTTAAATAAAGCAAATCATATTGTTATTACAGTTGTATTATAAATATACAGGTTGTAGATAGTTCTGCAGACATCTGGTGGCAGTATGTTATATGTAGTCACCAGCTTTTATTGCCTTGGAGCCAAATTGCTGAAGTTGTATTATTGTTCAATCTAGATCGGTGAAGCAGCCAGATGCGATTTCTGATAAGGGCATTTGCGTTAATTTTATCTTGGGAAAAGACAAAATGTAAACAAAAAAAGGAAAGATCGATATGGTTCTAATAACGAGGTATTGAGAAATATCTTGTTTTATTTGTGCACGAGAGTTTGGTCATCAACCTTTTTCTAATAACATCTGGCAACTAGTCAACACTTTCAATATTTCCTTCAGATTGAAATCTCGTCGCCTAATATATAAATACATAGACTTTTTCATCAACAGTAGTTCTGCCGTCCTGTTCAAGGCCCACGCTACACGCGTATCGACTTGTTCTGTTGTGTCTGTGAAGCAAACTGCTGATGTGGCCATTTTGTGTGATGCTGGTGATATCTGACGGATCTGGAACCAAATCACTCCGCCGTGTATTTTGATTGATGCGTCAATTCCCGGCACCATATACCAGGACGCGTGTTACGAGAACTACACTGTCAGAACAAAGTCTTATATCCAACCGCAGACGAGCAATGTGCAAAGTCATGAAGTATACTTTCCAAAAATATAGTGGATAAATTTGCCTCGCATTATTTGAAATATATCTCATGAATTTCTGTTCCAGTTTTTAAGATTGTGTACAGAATATCCAAGAATGGGTAAATAGTGTTTGGAGAAGCTTATTTTTTATTTTCATTTAGTCGTGAATAGAAGAATGCTATGTTGTTTTTTTCAGTTTTCCTTTGACTAGTCGTTGCAGTAAGTGAAACACCAACACGATTAGCAACGCATCATCAGTTGAATGTGATAGCTTGTTATTGTGAAAAGGTGATCAACTGCTCTGATTATCCCCTCTATAGGTCAATTTTCTGTAAAATAATACATAGATATCCAATATCAATAGAACGAGTGGCCATTTCTTCACATAGTCACTGAAAAGTGATTACCATTGTCTTAACCAGATCAGCTTGAAAACCAACAGAAAACACGAAACCATCGGACCATATACATATACAGTATCTGATTACTTTCAGGCAAATTATTGCCAACACGTGTCCAAAACCTGTAAGTCATAGACGAAAGGCAAAACAAGAGACGGCCATTGTAGGGACTCTAGAAGAACTAAGGTAGGATACCGCTTATACGGCTTATGGGACAACTGAACTGATCTGCTGCCCCTAACCATTTCTTTTCATCATTTTTCTGCAAAGCTTTTTCGTCCAATTTCTCCCCTTTTAAACTCATCGTTTACCTATTATCCGCAGTTTGTTCCTTTGTTGAAAGCTCCATAACGATAAATCAAGGATTATTGTCCCACTGTATTGTGGTTTTTACGTATATATAGAGGTTACACAACGAGTGGTTGTTGAATATGGTATTTATTTCACTCGTGTTAGTTAATTTTCAAAAGTTACAAAAGGCACGAGCTTTAGCGAGTGTCTTTCTGTAACTTTTGAAAATTAACTAACGAGAGTGAAATAAATACCATATTCAACAATCACGAGTCGTGTGATCTGTTTCTACCACAATCTCAGTTGGAAACATCTGGACTGATTTGAATAGCATACACACAGGCTTGTGTAGTGATATGACCCATATGTAAAATGTCACTCATTAATATTCAAAAATGACTTTTTCTTTTACAAATTTGATAATTTTTAAAATTAATGTTTCGGCAACAACTTCGTGAAAAAATAGAATAGATGAGAGACTTTAAATATTGAGAGTATGCATTATTGCATTAATAAATAAAAATTAACCACGGACTATATGCGCGTAAGCATATCGAACGAAGTCTGCCTCCCGCCAAGTGATGATGACGAACTAATCGCTGTCAATGTCCAAAACCATAGGCCTAGCTGGGATTTACTTCGTGAGGTTCTATTGTTGACGTTTATAGTGAGAGTTCCGCCATAGACAGGCCCTCCAAATATTGATAACTGGACACGGAGAGAACGAAATACTTTCCGACACTGTTACAGATCTTTTTGTGATTCACAACGATATATATTACGTCTCTGGGTTTCACGACCTGGACACGCGACGATATGGCGTCGAAACGATATCGAGCGTCTGTAGCAATGTTGCCTGAAACTAGCGATCAAATCTTTAAGCATCATCTTCTTTTGGTATTGCATTATAAAAACCGTTTCCCATCTCATAACCTCACAAAAGTCACCAACATTTGCCGGATGTTTACAGCAGACAACGTAAACAAAAAAGCACGCAGCAAAAAGCGCGTGAAAACATTCGTCCGGTCAAAGTTCATCTTCTCGACCAATCAAAACTACGGAAGGTCATATACCACGTATGGTATATCACTCATATTTATTCAACAGTCTGCATGTTTATACAATGATCTGAGAGTGGAATAACACAGCGTATTGTGGTAGAAATGGTAACCTCTCCTAATTACGTGTTGGATATATCTGTCAGCACAGTTGAGCAAGAGCACTTCAGTTGATCAGGTAGCTAAAACGGTTATAGAGCGATAATATAACGATCCTGGTAGGTTCCCACTGAATTTTTACATTCGGAACACTATTGTTGATTATCTTTTGTTGATTTCATCTTTGTGTGATTTATTTTCATAAAAGTCCCACAAGGTACGGTTTTTCTTTTCAATTATGATTTATGAAAGCTATATTCATGCCGGTAAAACAGTTTTCAATTCATAATCGCAGTTTTTGGCAGTGGAACGGGGATTCTAAAGTTAAATTAAAGATCTTGATCGTTTGCGGTTAGGTCCTTGCAACTGCTCGATCGGGTCATATGACCGGGATGCCCACATATACCAAGGGAACATCCAAAGGTCATGTTTAAATGTCCCACACGTTGACACGTCACGATCTGGATACAGTATCATGACATTCCATTGCCTCGCCAGCTAGACTTTGCCCGAGCATTGTCGCAGTGCTGTACCGAGTACATACAGTTATCAAGTTCTGAAGCCTATCGCTAACCCCGGACCAAGTCAACTTCTGGTAACAATAGATGATACAGCAATATTCAGACATCAGGCTAACCGGGGTTAGCCACAGAATCGACAGTGAAACGGTAAAACAGTTGAAATGAGGACAGCAGGTCATTGTTCCTGCCGAATACGTAATACAGTACAGGGGACAAAAATAAATCGCCTTCTATGACCATGTTTTCCGACAAAATAGGGTAGTTCCTGTCCATATCTTCAGATGATAAAAACATACATTTGCTCAAATATCTTCCGTAGGAAAAAAATTCTAATAAAGGATCAAATATCTTGCAGGAGATCAAATCTCTAGAAATACTCTGGCATTTAACCTTAGCTTTATCGATTGATAACGAATGAGATGTATTTGAAATGCCCTCATTTTTTGTCAATATTTCAGTCCAAAATAATGATAACAAAATTAAACATTAACAAATACCATTTTCAGAATAAAGACATTTACTTAATTAGGAAAAATTAAAACCCACTGATATCAATATCTAACTTTGAGGACAATTTTACCTGGTTTGTTGACAGTGTATCTACTATCTTAAAAGTATATGTGCTTATGAGATGGACGCCAAATCTACTAAATGTCTATAAAAATGTTTCTACAGGAAACATAATAAAATAAATATCAACAGTCACTCTAGATTCAAGCTTTCGGGCGTAGCCAATTCAATCCCCTGTGGTGAAGGGCTAAGCCCGAAAGCTGATATCGAAAGTGACTGTTGATATTACTATAATTTACCTTTAGTCATTCCATCTACACGCTAAATGCATAGTTCTGACATGCAACGAGGCCAGCGAGATAACGCTCTGTAGTAAATCATCAAAACGATAACGGCACGATGGTTTGATTTAGTGACGGGATATCTATAGAGTGTTTGTCACCTTGCCATCCATATAATACAGGGCAACATCGATTATTCTCTTCCAGTAGGGAGTGATTAGCCATGCTGGAACCCTGTGTCGACGGTATAGTGGTCTAATGAACGTTAGCCACACGGCGCCTTAATGACACCTACTGTGTCGTCACACACACAAAGGATACCAAAGGACAGTTAATACGATATCCATTAGAAAGAAGAAAAAAAATGAAAAATGTTTGTTAGCATAGTATCCATGGATATGACAGGTATAATGATTTTTTTTTTACTTTCATGAGGTCGGTATTCAAAATAACTAG